GCAGCACTGTACATCATAATAAAACTCTCATTGGAACCAACTTATCTTGTGTGTGTCTGAACCTAAAGCCAACATTAGACAAGGTGTAAACCGGCGGTTCAAAGAGTGATGATTCACATGAAGTGAATGCGTCACGAAGCAGATGTGTCACCTTTTCCTACACATGTGAGAAGTTTGCTTTCAGGCCATCCAACTCCCAAAAAAGCTTTTCTAGGAATAGCAAACATGGAAAAAAAACAAACCACAGTTGTTTCCAAATGCTAGCCGAAGTGCAACTGAAACCTTAAAGTGTAGTGAAGCAAGACGTCTAAAATAAAATTTAACACGGATTTTTTTTCCTTTTTAAAAAAAAAACAAAAAACAAAACCACAAAACACAGAGGACACAAATCTCTACTTTCCCAGAGCGAAACTCGTCTGTTCACCCACCACAACCAGCTGAAGGCCGGTTGCTGACTCCCGAAGGCCTTTTACATCCAGCTTTTAAGTGTTTCTGTGGTATTTTTTCCAGATTTCCCACCAAAGTCACAAACATATGACACAAACAGCATGACTAATCAGTTGCAGTGATGGTCCTAGAATAACATTATGCCATCAGAGAAACAGCAAATACCAAAACGGGGGATATTGTGATGCTATAGGTCATCATTCTCACCCCCATATCTACTACATACACTGCAGCACACAGTTTAAGCAGTTTACAGAAAATCCAACGAGGACGTCAAAACTGTAAACGTGGAGAAATAACTGAAAATTAAAAATGTAAAGCTTTTGAACTGCGATTCCAGTTTCCTGTGAACGCTGCATTTAGGCACACTCAGAAACCCTCTTTTATACCCTGACTTACATAGTGTAAAGTTTGAATTTGGGACACAAAAACTGACTTACTATTGAAGCACATAAGCGAGTGTGTGTACGTGTATGTATGATGTAAAACAAAAGGCGTGCACCAGTCAATCATTGGACAATTTTAATTCAAAGAAACTTTTATACAATTTTAGCATGTTAATTTAATAAATATGGTTTACTTTCATTTGTGCAACAGTTTACAGTAATTATGATCCAACAGGCTACAAGCAAATCCACTTAACAATGTAAATGACTTCAATAACCCCTGCACTGTTAAAAGTAAAATGAATATTTACATTGGTAAAACTACAAAAATTACACGCTTTCCTTGTGAGTGGCTCAGACATCTGTCTATGAGAAGGCCATCGGGTTTCTCAAAATATTTAAGAAAAAGAAAACGATTGGGACAGAGGAAGCTAATCTTAGTAGCTTTGCGTACCGACAACAATGCTCTTACTTTTCAGCACGACTACCCGGCCGCCTCTCACCACTGTAAAGATTCTAGTAAGACAATGTCAGCAGTGAACTCAAAGCTTCTCACAGTTCTACTGGAAGTCAATCTACACCGAGGCGCAGAGAGGTTCCCTGATGAGGTCTGCTGCCCACTACACGTAAGGCATTTTTTGATTCTCTTGGTTTGCTGCAGAAATGTGGTCAAATTTGAGTGGGCTCCGACCGATTTCTTCTAATTAGATTCAAGTACTGACGAACCTGAGAAAACCAAGAGAATAAATCACAATTATACAGCCATTCATATCACAGGATAATCACTTCAATGTTATATATATTTAAGTTTCTTAAAAATATCATTCATTATCACCATTACTCAGTAACATTCACCACGAGTGGAAAGGTTAAATTATACAGATAATTTTGCATGTTTTCACCAAACCAGCTACTGTTACTTTACACCTGGTCACTCTTTTTGAATTGTAGCTCCTACTTTAAAAGGTGGAAAGTTAATTTATAGGGATGTTTCCTTAGCTCAATATGGCTAAACAATCACAGTCAAAGACAGATTTCTTTCATTTACTGCAGGAGCTTTTTTTTAACCATGCAGAAAAACTGTGACACATTGTTTAAATTGCACTTGTTTTCCTTATATTAAGACATCTTAGGGAATAAAGGGGTAGTTAAACTTCTTTACACTGACAGGAAGAAGAGTGTCACTCATCCAGCCCACTTAAAATCAAAGTGGGCTGTATGTGGCCTGCGATGTAAATTGATGTAAAATGTAAATTGATGTAAATCCCTGCTCTTGAATATCTGGTATCAGTCCCTGACACAGCTCGATTATCAAGCCACGCAAAAACAAGGTGCACTGACTGATTCTTGTAAGATATTAAAAATAAATTTAAAACAGCATTCTGAGTGGCTGGAGTAATGGGGGATGTGTCAGATAAAACAAGCAAAAACTCTGAATTCTTTCCAGTCCATATACGGCATCCTGTAGCACTCATACTGTATGCCACAGACAGCAACGTACCCATATGTGCAGAAGTGTTTTCTAGCCATCCAATATGACTTGAATCTCAGATAGTCTGGAACAGCTGGGAGTCCCCATCCTCTGTGCTCTCTGGTACAACTCAGAATCCCCGAAGTAACGAGCACGATACAGTAAGCCTTCCTCTGAAAGTACAAGAAGAGAATTTGTCAGTACAATTCACATTAACTGGTTCAAAATCAGGCAGAACTTAAGTGTTAAACATAGAATAAAATATGGATTTAGGCTCCTGGTTTGAAGTGTGAAGCCAACTCCCAACAGCCAGCAGGGGGAGCTTTCCTCCAGGTCTGGTTCTGCTCTGTCATCCCAGTAAATACTTTTCTGACGACTTGATTACCTCAATTGCTAGGCTAAAATCTAACCGAATAAATCCTGAAGTTCATTTTGTAAACTATGATCCCATTCGGAGTTAAAAAAAGATAATACAGGGTCGTATAGTGTCCTTGGTTTCACACGGGACGCACTCGGTTTCCAAACACCAAGGCAGCAATAACAGCTCAACCCAAGGCTGCAAAACAGGAATCCTCCGACCTCCAGGTGACGTCATGGTGGCTACATCTATTTTTTATACTGGTGTTAAATTGCTCAGTTGGACGTTGTTTTAAAGAACTTGGGATGTTAACCAAACAAGCTCAAGCACTACAAGGTGACATAAAATATTCAATGAAGAAAAGAAAATGAAATGTAAACAATAAGAGTTAATCTTTAAAGCCAAATTTGAAGAAAAAAAAAGAATAATTCCACCCTAAAAATGTGAAAATCTTCCAGTTTTCTTCTTGTTTCGCATCAGATCTTGAATCAAATAATTACTTCAAATATTTAAACTCCGGCAATGTAAAACTCAATAATAATCATAGCTAATGCTGTAAACTCACTCTGCTGCTTCTCCTTCCAACAGTTGTTTCTTAGATTGGAGATGTAGTCTTCTTCTACACTTCTCTCCACAGTCTTCAGCATATTTCCAGAATATTCCTCATTGAAACGTTCTCCCACATAAAAAGGCACCTTCAGGCTTGATGTATGCCTTTTGTGGATATGTCCTGCTGACCTGGTATAGAAACATGTATAACTGAGGGTGTGACAGATGTTCAGACACTTTTGCACAACCTCATTAACCAATGCACCACTTACGGGCGGTAGCTAAGGCTGTATGGAGGCTGGGTGACCATCATCTGACTGAGAGCTGAAACAATGATGAGGATTAAGATGGGCATCAGCTGGACAAACAGAGCCAGACCTCCCTGTGAAGAGAGGAAAAAACAAAAATGGACTGATTAGTTTTTAACCACAGATCAGACACTAAATCAGGTGGTGTAAATATCAAGTGTATTGAAGGTCTTACAAGGTTTAAGCTTGTACTCACATCTCTCTGTTGTTCTCGTCTTTCTTGCCTATTATGGTGTGCAAAGTGCATTCTTCCATTTCTGTAAACATGTACGTTACCTGCAAAATTTGAACACATCATGATTATGAAACTGCGCCTCTTGGATATGTAAAATTCAGTCCAAAGCATAATCAAACTTTCTGCCTAATCACTTATGGCATTCTCATGCTCAACCACAGAGAAGGATGTTCTATTATTTTTAACAACTAGTCCAAGGAATCATGTTATTTGGTGAAACCGGTCTGGTGTTCATGACATCATCTCTCCTAATTATACTGCAACACAACTTGAGCAACAATTACAGAGAAAGTCAGAGAAAGCATCTCTTCAGCAATCAACTACCACATAACTAAACATTACAGAGGAGCCGACCACATTTATGGAGAAGTGATGAATCAGTAGCGGTAGCTTGTTGGCAGTGTGCGGGCAGTTACGGAAGCCCGCTACCTGCAGAAAGTGTCTGTTGACAGATGAGGGCAGTGTGAAAAATATGTGGTACAACCGGTCTGGGGGCTACTCTTGCTTGTGCTCTTCTTGGTCTGTAAGCAAGCTGAAGTAATAACACACAAAGAGCTGATGTGAATCCAAGTGTCCACTGGAGCTGCTGTTTGTGCATTTCGTGCTGTGCTTTGTGGCCTTTGATGGCTTTTTTGCAATTCCCATTCCTCATGAATGCTGCTGTCTCCCCCTTCCTTGTTACAGCCCACTCAACACAGCGTCATCGACATCAAGCACAGTGCAGTTGGGATTTTGGAGAACTAAACATGAACACGTTTGTCCTGGTTTTTAAAAAAAAAAAAAAAAAAAAAACCCTCCCAGGAGGGTCTCTGAAGGCAAAAACCTCCCCAAACTCCAAACTCTTCATATGCTAAATGATAAAGCAGCAGTGCTATAAAGATGTACCCAGGTCCGTTTGTGCCGGTGTCAGCCTGCATTTTCTTGTTGTGGAGGATGAAAATGATGCATGGTCAACAAATGCGTAGATTCACACAATAAGCTGGTTTGCAGGTTCCTCCTTCACTGCCTCCATACAGACACTTTGGTGGTAAGGACAGACAATGGTGAAGGCGAAACGATCCTCGATGATTACCAAGAGTTTTTCAAACCTTTCAACTCAACTCATTTCTAACACATGTAAGCATCTAAAACCAGCTGAATATGCTGGCTTTCAGTCTGGAGTGATTATCTTTCTGCATTTAGAAAGGTAATCTGGGAAGCTGCTTTGTAAAACTGCCAGATATGAGGGAAGATTACATATTATGGTTATGTAATAACCACTAGCTGACTCTCGTGTTGTGCAGAATTTCTAAGATCCCTTGCTTGCTTTGATAAGAGTGTATCAAAACACGCCAAACATCTTTACTGGGATGTTATTATTCCTTTGAGCTCTACTTACTTGTTGGAAAGCCTCCACCAAAGAACATGTTAAAGAGGTCCTCGGGTGAGATATCTGCTTCAAACTCATGATGGTGTCTGTGTCTGCTCGGGTGCGTTCTCTCCTCGCCATACTGGTCGTACTGCCTTCGTTTCTCAGCGTTACTCAGAACAGCATATGCATTACCAATAGCTGCAAGACACACAGAAGACCACCACCGTTATGCACTTTCTGAATCTTTGTGTCCATGTCTTTCCCGTAAATAACTTTTAATTTACCTTTAAATGCTTCTGTGGCTCCTGGTGCGTGATTTTTATCTGGGTGAAATTTCAGAGCGAGCTTTCTGTAAGCCTTTTTAAGGTCCTCCTCAGAGGCAGTCTTTTCCACTCCTAGGATTTGATAGTAATCTTTACAGCTCTTAATCCTGCAGGAAAAAAATGATACAGCAGAGATTGTTAGCAGACTACACATGATAAATAAAATAAAACACTATAAACACAATATGTAGTTAGAGCTACAGAGATGTGACTCTGAGTCTTACACTATGTGGATTTTATGATGCTTATATTTTTAATTTCCGCAAATAATAAAAAATATATATATATATATTTACAACATTCACATCCCCAGTTTGAGCTCTCTCTCTCTTCAGATCTAACTACTTTAACTTTACATGAACCATCATTTCTACCTGCTTTGCCATCTTTAGGGACCGATATTGACACCGGTGCAACTACTGACATTGCTTATGGGTCCGATACTTTTATCACTTCTCTTATTGATTCTAGATCAATTTTCTGTAGAGGGGGGAAACAGATTTGCACATCACTTGGGTGTGTAGAAGACGTCTGTTTGACGTCACTGTTTTGCAAACAAACATGTCAGCATTGATAAAAGGAACTAATAAGTCTGGAGCAATGTGATATAGATGGATTAGATAATGTGGTCATCACATCCCAGTAGTAATGATATCTTGTCATCCTAAACCTAAACCTGTTGACCTATTGGTCAACTAAATCTGCTGGACTGAGTGATGTGTGAAATACAGTCACTGCACACTTTATGAGGGCCACCTTGCTGAATGGGATGTCTTTTTGCCTTCAGAGGTGCCTTAATTCTTTTACGGCATGGGTATTGGAAAACATTCCTCATGATTTTGTTCCATATTTACATGACAATATCAAAGTTGCTGCAGATCTGCTGGCTGTACATCCATGATGTGACTCTCCCGTTTCTCCGCATCCCAAAAGTGCTCTATCGGATAGAGAGCTGGCGATCATTTGAGTACAGTGAACTCACTGTGAGACTACTTTGAGATGATGTGAGCTTTGTGGTCTGAGGTCATAAAAGCATGGGCATGGTTAGCAACAACACTCAGGCAGGGTGTGGCATTTAAAGGATGCTCAATTGGTTCGAAGGAGGCCAGAGCATGCCATGAAAATATCCCCCACAATGAAGAGCCTGAACTGTTGATACAAGGCAGGTTAAATCCATGCAGTTTATGCCAAATTTTGACCCTAGCATCCAAATGCTGAGATTCATCACACCAAACAGCATTTTTACCAATTTTCTTCTGGCCAATTTTGGTGAGACTGTGTGAATCTTGGCCTCAGTTTGCTGTTCTTAGCTGACAGGAGTGACACCTAAATGGTGTCGGTTCGATGCGTTCTGCCTATAGAAATGCTCTTCAGCATACCTTGATTTTAATGAGAGGTTATTTGAGTTACTGCTGGAAGAAGTCTAGCCAATCTCAATCACACTCAAGCTCAGTGGATCGGCAGTTTCTGAAATACTGAGACCAGCCTGCCTGGCACCTAAAACCACTCCACATTCAAAGTCCCTTGAACCACACGTCTTCCCTATTCTCCTGCTCAGGTTGCACTTAAAGGGGTCGTCTTGGACATGTCTACATAACTAAATGCACTAGGTTGCTGCCATGTCATTGGCTGTTGAGATCCTTGCATTTGCCAGCAAGTGTACCTAATAAACTGGTCAGGTAGCGTATATTCACTATAATCACACTGACTTTTTGATAAACGTCAAGTGATATCGACGTCAGCCAGCTCTACCAGCATTTTCACTGCAACAAAGGGAGCACATAGACGCGAACTGACTTTTTAACGGCCTCCAGCTGCTCGGCTGTGTAGGACTTTCCCGAGTCCGCCGTCGCTTGTGCGGACACTTCGGGCTCCTCTCTGCCGCCGCGGTGTCTCATAGCGGGTCCTTCTCCGTTCACATGACTGCCGTTCTCCTCCGGAGGCTTTCCATTCTGCGCTAAAGACTCCAGTAAGTCTGTGAAAAGACAGAGGAGACATTATCGACGGTTGCCACCTGAGTTCACGTTTCCTATGTCGTTAATCCTACCACGGTTAGCTACTTGTTAGCATCCCAGCTGCTACGAAGACCACTCTATAAGGGATAAAACTGCGAATACCGACTAATCGTCCACTATGTTGAAGAAACCAAACGTATTAGAGAAACGCGACTCTAGGCTGAAAAACTACAAATACCAGTGTCGGCTAGCAGCTGGTGTAACGTTAATGCTAGCATTAGCTGCTTCGGTTTCACAGCGACGGCCTAGCACCCATGATTTAAAAAACCCCCAATCACTTCCCAAACAGGCATTTATTCGACGTACTTTTGGCTTGCTCTGTCGGAAACAGGCGTTGTGCCTTCTCCAGGAACTTTCTGGCTTTATCCGGCTGGTTGTTACTGACTGCATTTAGGGCTATTTTAATGCACCGCTCCGCTTCGTCCTTGTTTGAGTCCATCGCGACACAGCGGAAATGTTTACTTGCCCTGGGACGCAGGGGGATGTCGACAGCAAGCTTATCTGTCCGGTAAATAAGACGTCAGAGGAGTTTCTTTGAACCTCCAGCATGTGCTTCATGAACACCCGGTAAAGTCTTTTGCCGTGTACACCTTATATATTACAATGCGCTAATCCTCCTGCAGGACCCTCAGCCATAGTAGCAAGTTTTTCAAAAGTAGAAAATGGCCTTGGTAGCTGCACGCAGCAAGTCAGTTATATTTGTCAAACGTGACCTTTTGCGTTACTTGAGGAAAACTTATCCGCGGTTTCTAGCGAATGGCACTATTGTAACCGAACAGGGGAACCCACCATCAAAGAAGCGATGGAGGAAAGGTAAGGAGAAGAAACCACCCTCATGGACTGATGATGTGTCGTGGGAGGAGAGGCTGGCAGATGTGGTCACCCCTCTGTGGAGGCTGAGTTATGATAAGCAGCTTGAGCTCAAGCAACAGAATCAGGAGAAGATCCTGTCCGAGCTCTCTGGGCATCTTTCTGGCGACTCACCTGTCAGGGATAAACTCAGCTTTCCTGTGCTGCCTGTTCTGCCCTCACCAGTGAGAGATGGCTACCGCAACAAGTCCACATTTTCAGTCAACAGAGGAGTGGATGGCAATCCGAAGACGGTTGGATTTTACGTGGGCACAGGCAGGAAGGGGAACATCGTCTGTGTCAGCGGAGACCACCTGCTCAACATGCCACAGAAGCACAAACTGGTGGCCAGGTGCTACCAAGACTTCATCCGCCTGTCCTCACTGGAGCCCTGCCTGCTGTTCCACACCGGGGGTCACTGGAGAGAGATCACAGTGAGGACCAATAAAGAGGGCTGCACCATGGCCATCGTGTACTTTCACCCACAGAGCCTCACCCCAGCAGAAGTGGCCGTCCATAAGGCGGAATTGGTGGATTACTTCACGCAGGGTCCTGGATCGGTCTGTCAGCTGGACTCGCTGTACTTCCAGGAGAGCAGCATGACTCGGTGCACCCATGAGCAATCTCCCTACCAGCTTCTGTATGGTCAGCCACACATATATGAGGAGGTAACCTCACAGAGATTTCATAATCCCTTGTCCAGCTGCACAGACACTGTTCAAGTGCTTGCTCTCATGAATAATTTCATGTATATTTTAATTCAGATTCACTGCCAAAATAGGAAACAAAAATAGGTAAATGTGCACATTTAAACACTTAAATTTAAATAAAGTGTTTGAAATCTGTTATTCTTTTATTCTCTTGGCTATATAATGTCTTAACACGATCCATTCCCACACAAAAGAATCGGAGAATATTGGAAAAACATTACTGAAAGCTGGTGTCAGTTGCCTCATGCAGAGCTGCACATCATTCAGTACTTGTTTGTGCATGTTTCAGTAAGTCGCTGCACATATTTTCCTAGCAAAATATGAAGAAATTAGGGTTGGCTCGAGACTTTTGCACAGTAATGTATCTAAGGACATGTAAATGAGGCATGTAAGAGCATTATTTGTAATAGCAAAGTTATCATAGCAAGGCAATAGGGAGAAGCAGAAGGGAAGAAGTAATATTTTTGAGGTTAAGAATAGGCCATGTAGGAAATTCAGCTTATTTACAGCTGTGGAAGTACTGGGAAAACCCCCCACAAGATACATCACGGAAGCAGTGGAACATGTATGACTAAAATGTAAGTCGGCCATTCCCAAAGCCAAGAGTACTGTGTCTCATTAAACACCAGAAAATCCAGAGGAGCCCATCAAGCCCTGAATCTTCGCCCAAATTAATACAAGAGAAAGAGATGTATTTCCTTGAAAACTTTATTAAATAACATAAACAACACAGACTGTTGTCTATAAATTCCTAATGTTACGCAGTCAGACACAAGGTGTTAAGGCCAGTGTGTGACCCGACTGCTACTGGAAGACAGAAATGTCAATTCAAGAGCTGTTAACTTTAGGTCAGAGTAATGACTAATATCACAACTTAACCACCTAATATTACCAGTTTTGTTTCACTTTTTATATAAATAAGTATATTTTCATACATTTGTAATGAACTTAGTATATTAAAACTGAGTTTCTGTTATTACTGTGGCCCACCTGCAGTATCTTCGTGGCCCACCAGGGGGAACTGTCTCTTTAAAAAAGACAGGAGTCATTATTCAAACTTAGCAATGAAATATAAAACTGTGTGTTTTTGTGTGTACAGCCATTGCTCCCTTTCATTGCATCCCTTGCAGGCTTGCATTTTGGAGTCTTGTACCACTACTCTAGCCAAGCAGGTGGCAGTAATACACCTTCATGTTGGTTGTCAGTTGCCATAAAACAATAACATTAGCTTTACTTATAAAATCATCCTTATAAACATTGAATTTATGTAGGCAATAGAGAAGAGTGGGTAGCTACTGTTTAATATGTTTTTACCTTATGATTGTTTTTTTCATTGCTCCTCTGTCATCTTGTGATTCTCAGATACTGGACTTCAAGTTCCGCATCTCGGCCGACGCCTTTTTCCAGGTGAACCAGGCAGCTGCTGAAGTCCTCTATGCCACAGTGAGAGACCTTTGTGTCCCAAACACTGAGGAGGATGGAGGGCAAACAAAAGCCGGCAGCACTCTTCTAGATGTGTGCTGTGGGACGGGTGCCATGGGAATCACTATTTCTCCCAGAGTGGACAAAATTATCGGTATAGAGCTCATAGAACAGGCAGTGGAAGACGCTAAACACAACGCAGCTCTCAATAATGTGTTAAACTGTGAGTTTATCTCTGGGAAGGCAGAAGCTGTGCTTCCTGGCCTTATATCTCAGTTGAGCTTCGCAGGCAGATGCCTTACAGTCGTGGTAAATCCTGCTCGAGCCGGCCTCCACCACAGGGTTGTCCGGGCTTTGCGAAACCAACCGGCTATCCGCAGGCTGGTCTACGTTTCTTGCAAACCAGACGGAGAAGCTATGAGGAACTTCAAGGAACTTTGCTGTGATCCTAACTCACAGAAGAAACTCACAGGAGAAGCATTTTCACCAACTCTGGCTGTGCCCGTTGACATGTTCCCACATACCCCTCATTGTGAAGTGGTGATACTTTTCGAGAGGTAGCAAATAGTTTTTGTTCAAAGGTTGGCCTTAACCCTGAAAGCTTGTAAGTAGAGGAATAATGATGTACTGTATTTTAGATGATAAAATAAATCGTTGCGCATCCTATACTCATGTTTGACCCACGTGTTCTCAATTGTTTGCTTTCAGGACTCTGTGCTACCAGTGCAACAAGTTACTGTTTAGATTATTAATCAGCTAACGTGCCATTGTTTTGGAGTAATTATTGGTTTATAAAATATTAGAAAGATGAATATCCAACAGTCAGTCCCCAGATATATTCACGTTAAATACTGAAAACTAAAAAATTGAAAAATCCTAATTTTAATGGTGATCGACATTGTTGATTTCACATTATCAGACTAAGCAGACCTAGAGTGATATAAAACACCTCTAAATACAGCACTGGGGGGTTTATTACTCTTCTCTGACAGATTGTGCTTTACCAAAGTCCTTATAGGAGGAGGTCTTGCAGCTCTCCTGACAGGCGTCTGGGCCCTTTTATTATCACTGTTCTTATAGACAAAAGACCACCTTCTGTTGCGTGTTTCCATTTGCAGCCTAACAGCCATACTCACATCAGAAGCTGAACTTTTGCTTCAAGAAACAACCAAATATTTACTTGTTCTGTTCCTAGTTGGTGTCCAGCTCAATATAGACCAAAACACACACACATAATCTCAATTGATACTGTGCCATGTTACAAATATTGGTATCAATTGGACATCAAGTACAGAACATGCAGTGCCAGTATTGCCAATATCAGTACTGATACTTTGAAACTATAAAAGCATCAGTATCACTGATACTATTTAATGTAGGGGAGAGCAATGTGTCTTCATCATGATGAATCATCAATTTGCACATTCTTATGCATTTTAATGACAGTAAATCACTATGATTTGTTTTTAAACTTTCCAAAATAATTAATCAATGCAGCAAAGTACACTTTCCAGGTTTTCATGTATTTTGAAACTGCTTTTTGTAGACCTCAAATGCAAATGTCCATGTCTTTGAAGCACTTTGAATCAACTTCTGTTAACGTGTGCTACAGCCTATAAAGTAGATGTGATAATGAGCACAAAAAGGTTCAGACATTTTTCATAGTGCATGTTTGAGGTCCCCCCCCCCCCTTTTTATATATTAAAAAAGCTCCAGGCCTCAAGGGCCGGTGTCCTGCAGGTTTTAGAT